TTCCTTACCCTACCTACTCTCTCTCTCTCTCTCTCTCTCTCTCTCTCTCCCCCTCCCCGCCTCTCTTCCCCCACATGCATGCGTGCACACAAATTTGCTAACTCACACAAATTTACCCTTGCGATCTTTTATTTCGTTGAATGTTAACTTGGAATTGGTGAGAATGGAACTCTGGATGTTGTGCTGTGGCACCTGTCACTCTGATCACCTCTGCCTAGAGTATGTTCTCTGGTCCTTGATATCAATTGTGAAACATGGCGTGTAGAGCTTGCAGAGATGGTTTCATTCCATTAGGTCACTGCCCTTGATCGCTACCTCCCACAATGTCAATATATTTTTTTTTTCACTCTCATTTGTTACATTATGCAGATGGAGAAGGCTGTCGCAATGATAGATGAGATGTCTCTGGCTGGGCTGACTCCTAATGAGCATACTTACACAACGATCATGCAAGGTTATGCATCCCTTGGTGAAACTCGTAAAGCCTTTGAGTATTTTACAAAAATCAAAGAGGAGGGATTGAAACTCGATGTCTTTTCATATGAGGCATTACTTAAGGCATGTTGCAAGTCAGGCCGTATGCAGAGTGCCCTAGCAGTCACAAAGGAAATGAGTGCCCAAAAGATTCCAAGGAACACATTTGTCTACAATATATTGATCGATGGGTAAACACCTGCCATATAGATTAAGAATCTCTTGAATGCCATTTGTTTTTTCTTTCAAGGTTCTAGGATCTATTGCATTGCTTTTAAGAAATGTGTGTCACTAACTCCTCTTTAGAGCCTGCAATCTTTGTTGTATTTTTTTCAACTGAACAGCGTCTTGTAGACCATACCTGATGGTCTGTGGTACTACTGAACAAACATGCTTTCATATCTTTACAATTTTCTCAGTTTTGTGAAATGGCAGTTTTAGTATCTCCTCTTTTCTTTCTGTTACTTGTAGCAGTTGTCGCATTTGAGTTTTACTTTCCCTGCTTCATCTTCGCTCCTTTAGTTATGCCAATAACAGAATTTTCATATTCTGGGCGTTAGTGCAAACATAGACTCGTTTGCAGGCATGCATATGATTTCAAGGTTCAAAGATGCTGACTTGGATAGGCCACTGACAGACCTCGTGGTAAGTTGATGTGGGAATCGATTGCAGACTCAATGAGTCTCACCAATTGTTTCAGAATTAGTAAATGCTGGAACGTGCTAAAAATTGGAATCTCTATAAAAATTTACCAAAATGTGAAAGAATCGAATAAACTAAGAACTACATTCCCCCACCCCCAACTCTCTCTTCCCCCACCCCCCAATACCTTCAATAAAGGGGTTAAAGATGACCTTTGTGAATCTAAAATTGTCTCACTTTGAAATGTGAATGTCATCGTTGAGGATGGAGAACATTAGCCTTTTGAGATGTCTTTTCAAGATTGCTTGACCTTTAACTTTGTAGTCTCCCTTTACTTGCTGTATTTTTTCCTGCAGATGCACTAAGATTTTGTTTGGATGGTGTATAAGTTGTGGATAGTGCGACTTTATATGTGGGCCCCATTCTATGTGGCATTTGGTGCAGGCCAATAGCTACATGATATTTTTTTCTCTTTTCTTTTTTGAACCTCCCAACAGCTATAGGATATTGGCTCTGCTTTTATGGAAAACACCGCTTATTAGCAGGAGTCGCAAAACCACAAAAGTGTGCTTTGCCTCCAGTGCTGATAACACGGTCTGGTGCTTGAGTTATACACCACATCCAGAAAGTTCCTAAAGATTGATTTTTACATTTGCTACTTATGGATGTGGTTTATCTTTATATCTCGCTTGCATTTCCCAAATTTATACTTTTGAAACCTTTGCCTATTTGCTGCTAGTTCCTCTTTTAGTGTCTGAGGACTGCTTTCTTTTATTTGTAACCTACATTTCTTTTCCATATCCTAGATATCCAATAAGGGTATGGATATGGGACCTGCATGCAGAGAATAGGGATATGACTTGGCATTTCTGAAAATCCAGAGCATGGATATAGATACAAGTATCCTATCAACACGTGTAAATATTTGTTTTAGCTTGCAAGTGTCCTAGCATTATCTAGTATCTGTTTCAGTGGTAGACATGGTAGGACACCAGAATGTTAGAGCATATACAAGTATCCATGCAACATAGTTCTTGTCAATTCTGTTCATCATAATTGATTATGAGATTGCCAGTATTCATGTGGTTAAGTTCCCTCAGTGCTTACATGCGTGCTAGTTGATCTCTGTATACTATTTGTGGAAGCAAACAATGAACATGCCTTTTGAACTTGTGCTCCTGAGTCAGTTGCTTCTGTTGTGATTTCTTCTTCTCATTTTATGTTCTGCCCTTCATCTAACATTTTTGCCTATTTATCTTTCAATCTGCAGATGGGCTCGGAGAGGTGATGTGTGGGAAGCTGCGGATTTGATACAACAAATGAAGCAAGAAGGGGTTAATCCCGATATTCATACATACACATCATTTGTGCATGCTTGTAGCAAGGCTGGAGATATGCAGGTAGACTCATCATTATACTTAACATTTGGTGATTAGCTAGCCGAGCTCCTGCTAGTTTAAACTTTGATATCCCAAAGTGGAGTACTCTAGGATAGTTGAACAATGCTAGGGGGAGTGAGTGATGTATTTCTACTTGGAGGGATTTTTGAACCAAAGAGGAAACTCAATGATGCTGCTGCTATTTCCATTGATAGAAAAGCCCAAGATTTTTAGTTATGAAGTCCAGTACAGTAATGATTTTAGAAAATTAAAATGAGAAACAAATTTATTGAAGGTATCGGGGGGCTCCAGGCCGCCCAGCGCCTAGGCGGGCGCCAAGAACATGGGAGGCCTAGTAGATTTTTTATTTTTTTTGGGTTTTTTTTCTCTAAAATAGCCTCTAATAGGTTTTAGGTTTCAAATGAACCCAAAACCCACAATTTACCCCTTTAGTATAAAAAATGATAAAAAAATACCCTCTAAGAGCCATATTTCCTCCCTTGGGCGGGGCGCAGGCCCTAGGCGGCCGCCTAGGCGGGTTCCTAGGCACCTAGGCGGACGTCCAGGGATATCCGCCTAGTTTGGCCAACTAGGCCTGGGTGATCCGCCCAGACCTTCTCGGGATCGCCCAGGCCGTTTCGGCCACCTAGGCGGCCGTCTTGGCGCTAGGTGGTCCCCTTTTTAAAACTTCGGTTCTACCTGATACCTCTTTGCCCGTTCCTTTCTTTTTGTGTTTTAATTAACTCAAATATCTTCTGGAACCTTCTTACATGGGGCAACATCCCCCTAATACCGGCAAAGTATTTCTTGATCTGATAATAATCCCCATTAGTATCTTTTTTTCAATAATTACACGATATATAATTTTTGTTCATTCGGATTCAGGTTAGAACTATACTTCCTACCTCAATTACCACTTCTTAAAGAACCTGGACAAGACATTTCCATATAACAAGGCTCATTTTCTTGAGTTTTTAGTTTTACCAAATTCAAACATTATTTTCTAATAGCTTCAGGAACCTTTTTATAACAAGCAGAATTCCCTTTAATACTAGCAAAGTGGTTTTTGAACCGGTTTACGCTTGTTATCTTTTTCACAAAAATTACACCTTATACAATTGTTATCATTTGGATTTGGGTTATAACCATAATTCCAACCTAGATCACCGCTTTTAGAAGTACCATAAAATGACTTATCTAATGACAAAGCTCCTTTTGTTCCTTTTTGTGTTATACCGTCTTGATAGTTACAAGAACTTTTTTACAGGGAGCAACATCCCTCTAATACCAGTAAGGTATTTTTTTGTACTTGTTTATATCCCATTAGCATATTTTTCGCAATAATTATGTCTTATGCAAATTTATTTATTTGGATTTGGTTTATAAACCAACCTAGATTACCATTTCTAGAAGAACCCGAAGGAGATATTGAAATAACAAATAAAATTTTAAATATGAAGATTCTTAACTAACCTTTTTGCTCGATGTTTGAGATGTTTGTCAACCTCCAAAGCCAAAGCACACTAGTAGCTTCTAAAATTGATAAAATTTAATCTAAAACAAAAAAGATGATGTTTGGATCAATTTTTTAAAACTATAAATCAATGTTCTAAAACGTGACTCAGCCAAGGTACTTGGACCTTGGCCCGAGTTACTCGGCCAAATTCGAGTAACTTGCCCTAGTCGTGTACATTTCTGAAAAATGGGAGAAATAGCTAAAGCTGGGGAAAATTTCTGTAAAATTAGTGCTTATGAAGATGATTGAATAAGCTTGAAAATGAGTCAGATTTCATGAAATTTGGGTGAGAAAAAGATGAAAAATCGAGCTAAATGCGAATGGGCTCAAGAACACTGTTCTTTCACAGTCGGGAGAATTTAGAGCCAGATCTCTCCATTTTTATGTTATAATTGAACAAATCAATTTAAGGAATCTTTAGAGGATTCAAAGAGCTTTGCGATGAACCTAATACCAATAAATTTGGATGAGTAGATGATGAGAAATCCAGAAGAAGGCGGATATGGTTTAACAACACTCTGTTCTTCAATAAACTAGATAATTTTCTAGCCTGATCTATCAATTTTTTTGCTGTAGTAGAGCAGATCGAGGCACGGGATATCTAGATGATTAAAAGAACTTCACAATGAACCTGATTTAAAGAGATTTGAATGAGTAGAGAGTATGAGAAATCTAGAATAAGGCGGACATGGCTCAAGAACACTGTGTTATTCAACAGTTCATTGACTTTCGAGCCAGGTCTATCAATTCTTTTGTTAAAATCGAACAAATCAATATAAGAAATATAGAGGATACAAAAGGATACAAAGAGCTTCACAATAAACCTAATTTCAAGAGATTTGGATATGTAAATGGATAGGAATCTTGAAAAAGGCGGATATGGCTAAAAAACACAGTTTGCCCCACGAAAGTTGGGGGCATTTTAAAACTCCAAAAAAAAGGGTAAAATATAAGATAGATCATTCCTACATATTTCAGAATTATTTAATCTTTTCCAAAAACATAAAAAACATACATAAAAATAAGATTATATCATTCCTACATTTTTTAGGCTTTTTTTTTTTTAATATACAACTTGGGGGTACTCGGCCAAGTCCAGATACACTGCTATAAATTTGAACTTCAAGCTAACGAAATTCGAGATTGGATTTGTTTTTTGAGTTATTGTGGGTCAAAATATGCTTAAAACAGCTTTTGAGGGTTTATAAAAACCTTCCCACCCCTTTGCCCCCTTATTTGGGGGGGAAAAGGTAAAGAATTGCCCCCTAACCGAGGGGCATTTCTGCCCCTAGGTGGCCCAGTTTCCTGGGCACCCGCCAAGGGACTCGGCATCTAGGAGAGCTGCCTAGGCCAGGGCAATGTGCCCGGGCCCCTAGCTCGCTTAGGTGGCTGCCTAGGCTCTAGGTGGGCCGATTTTTGGATCTATGAATGGAGGAAAGTATGTCACGATATTTAAGATGTTTTATTTTTGGCTTTGTACCCAATCAATGATGCATCCTCAACCACCCGATTTCAAACCTAATGGTCATCTGTGGTTGTGACCTTCTTGTGTCAAAAGTAAATGGTCTCATTGTATACATTTCCTTTCAAATATGGGTGGGAATCTAAGAAATTGGATCAGAACACATCGTTTCTATCTTTTACCTCAAAAAATAAAAAAAATAAAGACGCGCAGTTTCTATTTTCTAGTAGTGTACACTGGCTACTCAACCATGTCGCTCATAACTCCTTTTCTTCACATGGGGCAAAAACTGCAAAATGTATGCAAGTTATTTTCTCCTCTTTTTTAAACCTGGGGCTACTGTACTCAGGACTTTCCTCCCATACCTGTAATACTGATACTTCCAAATCTTGACTTGGGGTATTTGGAGAATATTTGTTACTTCTATTTTTTCTGTCTTAGAGCTAGGGCATTTTCAATACTGCTTATGCTTTTCCAATTATTAGCTCTCTTAATTGCTTTTAAGTGCAGAGAGCAGTGCAAACAGTTAAAGAAATGGAGGCAGTAGGAGTGAAGCCCAATATCAAAACTTACACTACATTGATAAATGGGTGGGCTCGAGCTGCACTTCCCGAGAAGGCTTTGAGGTGTTTTGAAGAGATGAAAGCAGCAGGGTTAAAGCCAGACAAAGCTGTGTACCATTGCCTTATGACTTCATTGCTTTCTAGGGCTACTGTTTTAGAAGATTACCTCTTCACAGGCATCTTGCAAATATCGAAGGAAATGGTTGAACTTGGCCTAACGGTTGATATGGGCACCGCAGTTCACTGGTCTAGGTGTTTACGCAAGGTTGAGAGAAGTGGTGGAGAACTTACTGAGGCAATTCAAAAGACTTTCCCTCCTGCTTGGATCTCCCAAGAAATTCATCAAGCAAGGTCGAATGAGGCTAATCAATACAATTCTGAAAGTGATATTGATCATGATGATGGTCTTGATAATGGCGGTAGTGGTGGTGAAGATGATGATGATCATGAGGCATGGTTCAGCATGAGGCAATAAGCCTGACGTGCATCAACAGATGCTACTCTGGAGACTGAGCTCATAGGCAATTTTTTCGGGCTTTTCAGTTTCATTTTGGATGGCATTTTTGTCTGTTGCTTTGAGGTTGATGAGATGACAATGCAATGACGATGATGATGGTTGCTAGACATGGTCAAGTTCTAAGTGTAGGACTCTGTGACTTGATGGGTGTTATTCTATAGGACCTTGTAGATTTTTAAAGTTTCCAGGCACAATTCTTTTGTTGTTTTGTCGGGTGACTTGATTAAAGGCTTGGATTTTGATCGAGGCAATAAGCCTGACATGCATCTACAGACTACTCTGGAGACTGAGTTCATAGGCAAAATTTTCAGGCATTCAGCTTCGTTTTGGATAGCATTCAGCTTTGAGGTTGATGATGAGATGACAGTGCAATGACGATGATGATGGTTGCTAGATATGGTTAAGTTCGAAGTGTAGGGCTCTGTGGTTTGATGGATGCTATTCCATAGGACCTTGTAGATTTCTGAAGTTTCCAGGCACAATACTTTTGTTGTTTTGTCAGGGGAATTGATTTAATTCTTGGGTTTTGATTTCTGGGGATTTAGGCGTGTTGATGGCGATGGTATTGATGGTAATCGGACATGGTTCAAATGGGCATTGATCACGGTGTATTTTAGGTGGTGGTTATAGAGAGCCTAAGTACAGTAATTTTAGATATCCAGATTCTGCGATTGGTTCTGTAACATTCTTCTATTTCTTTATATGTAGATCTAATAAAATTTAGAGATTTGGGCTTTGGAGTTGAGATTATTATCTCAACCATTCTGTTACTAGGTTGTTAGTAATGGTGTAACCAAGAAAGTGGATCTTGAGCGGCATACAGGTGAGTATAGTAGTAAGCTAAACTGAGCCCCTGATAAAATTGCAAATATCTTATACGATTACGGTTCTCTTGAATGGGCATCGCATGATCTGAATGGAGTTTAAGATCTGCATAAGATACTCTTGCATTCTTTGTAACAGACTAATATTCTCAAGAATGTCAGTAAACAAAAGCAATAATAAGCGGTTTTGAACATCCATATGCGTTGCCTTTTCTGTCTTGCTATCTTTCTGTACTGGGACCGAGAGTGGCAAAAGTATGTTTGACCATAGAACTGCAACCATAAGAGAGGAAGAAATGTCATAAGTGGATCTTTTCTTCATTGTCACCTATGACTTGCTAAGATCTTAAATTACGATGGACCGCACTGTCCTGTTCTTGTTGTAGTAGTTAACCAAACATTTGTAATAATCCCCTGATGTGATTGTTGGGTTGCTTCTTGAAAGTGAATCCATCTAACCATTTGATAGGTTCTAAGCTTTTAAACATGCCATACTCCATGCTCTCTCTCTCTCAATTTTCTAGAGCCTCCCCTTTGAATGGTCTTTTTCCTTGGATTTGAAAATCCACTAGTCGGTGTGTACCAGCCCGCATGGGCGGCTGCATTTCTTGACTCTTTATGGTTTAGGGCGGTGTACATCCTAGCTGAAAGTGACATGATTTCAGTAGGTTTATTCTGATGGGAAAAAGTGCCTGATTACTAATTACTTACCAATTTTTCATGCTGATCAATAGATGATATATCCACCTGTCTTGTGCTCTCTGAATAACTATTAAAAGTAGTTGAAAGAAAGGTACTGAGTAGCTCCGAGGGACCTGCTAATCGCCAACCCTACCAAGAACTCTTAATTCCAATTCACCTCCTCTTGTATCTTCTCTCACCCAATATTTCAGCTACAAAATATGATAACCAACTTGGCAACTTCCTTTAGAATTCTTCAATCCATCACTTCCCCACCAAATATGGAGTGCACAGAGAGGGACCTTAATTTTCAGGTAAAGTGTTACTCTTCCATCTATTATGGTTTCCATTCCGTATCATTTATGGCATATGAATATTTTTTGAGAAGTATTTCATGTGAAAAAACTCTCATGCGGTTAGTTGTGAGAGTATTTTCACGTCAACTGGCTGCCGATTGGTGTGAAAAATTGTACTGAAACATTTTTGTGAACATACTTCTACATGTAATCATATGGTGGACTTTTTTCATGTGAAAATACTTCCCATTAATTATTTTCACGTCTACCAAATGTGCCATTAAAGTGATAGTAGATGGGAAACATGTACCCTCTCTCTCTGCCCCCTTAAATGTCCACTCAAATGTTTTCATTCATGTGGGTGTATGTATGGTAATTGATCCAGGGGCCTTCGCGAAGAATGAGAGAGCTCCAACTCCTCCCACCAGAAGACCCTGAAACATATGGAATGGGGCATGATGTGCTTGTGATTGTGGGGTGCTCCTGTTGCCTAATGTACTTAATGATCAGCAAATACCACAGGAGGTGTCCTAGGTGTGGTCATGCTTCTCTCTTAAAATTCACAAGTGAAAATGTCCATCCTTAAAATCAATTTGAGAATTGAGATAGGGAGATCTCCATGTATCGATTCTATTTAAATTCAAAGCGAACTGCAAGGCCTTTTCATTTATTTGAAAGAAAATTTTGAATTCAAAGTGCATTGAACATCTCTCTCTCTCTCGCACACAAACACACTTGGTCGAATCTTTTTAGCATTTAGGGACCATTAAGACAGTTTTGCCAACTGTAACCTCAACCAAGAAGCTTAGTTTATTTGTATTTCACTAATAATTTTTAGAAATGAAATATTGTGTTCACTTGCTTAAAATGAAAAAATATGCTCACTTGACTTATCTCCGGTCTAGTGTGTGTGTGTTTTGCTTAAGGATTTTATAGAGTAGAAAGGAGTAGAAGGCAATGGGATTGAATTACACATATAATTGTTATTAAAGAAGATAATAGTCGCTTATAACTAAATGCGATAAATGAAAGGAGGCAAACTAGTGATCATGTCGGAGACGTGCCATCCTATTCACGTCGATTTCTTTATTTCTATTTACTATTTGTAATTCAATTTAGGAAGCTAATCGATTCTACACCTAAGTAGATGTTGTCTATAGAGAGGCCAAAGAAGTTGCCGATGGCTGTCTAAGAGGAGTGCTTCATTGGATTCTTTGGTGGTCTCTCACTCGTTATTTCGAATTTTATATTGTAATTTGTCTTTGATCTAATAAAATTCAGTATTTTTGTCAAAAACAAATAAAAAACAATTCTACACCTAATTAGTAGAAGACTTAGCGACCTCTTCTTATTAAAACCCAACCCCAATAAGAAGAAGAAGAATCATGCGAGAAGCGATTTTTGTGGGGGTGACAATGTGGGGAGTAGTGTATGCAAAATCGAATCGGAACGGTTAACTGGTCATGAGGCTGAGAGCGGTTCGAACCGGAACCGGACTAACCGGAGCTGTTAACCGGACTAACCGGAGCGGTTAACCAGACTAATTGGTCAAGTAGATTTTATTTAAAAAAATTGGGCCAAACCCCCCCCAAAAAAATAGAAAAACTTAGATTAAGTATTCACTATCATATTAGATACATTTATCTTATATAAAAAAAAAATTGGAACGACTTTTTATATAATCTAATATTTGAATATTATGGAGATATGCAAGACAATTTATAATTTCACATAAATTCAATTGATGAAGTTACAAAGTCCAACTAACAATGGATGATGCAACAATATACGCTTCTATATTGTTTTAATGTTGACGTTAAAAAATGTTATTTTAATGTTGAAAAACCCTTTATTATGGTTTAAAATTGGGTTTGAGAGCGTATTTCTTTGTTGTATGATGTTCCCAATTTTTCGAAGGGTTGTGCGTCAAGGTAGTAAGAGAGAGCACCTCATTTACTCAGCAACTTGGTTATCAAATGCAGGGTGTGGGTCAACGTGTTAAGTGCTGCTTCAAATGGCCAAATCGCATATTTAAAAAATGGCCAAATTGCATATTTTCAAATGGCCAAATTGATTTTGAAATGCCCAAACCTCATTTACTCAGTAACCTTTTGAGTTGGGTTTTAACATGAATATATATATATATATAAAAGATGGCAACTATAAAATGTAGAATTAAGATGCATATTTTAAAAAAAACAGGTTAATTTTTTATCCAGTTCAGTATGTGGAAACATGAGAGATGAGTAACACACTTTTTAATTTTTACCTCTTTTCTTTATAGATAATAAATATTCTTTTTCATGTGGTCTACAAGCTGCTGCTCAATCTATTAGTTATGAAATACCGTTAACTCCGTGTGTGTTATCAATATCTCTATGTGCGATTAGTTAGAGCATTAACTTTTACGTATTTTCTTTTTTTAGTATTAGAAACTAATATTAGGTTAGGTTATAGATAGGTATATAAAGAAAGCATAGGATCAGAGGAAAGAATGAAAAAGAATATATATATATATATATATATATATATATATATATTCGACATTATTGATTCAATGATTCCGTTTGATGAGTTAAACCAGATAGTTATATGAGTGAAACAAAACTGCTTTGCTTATGGATTTGTAGTAATAAAATAGAGTCTCATTCCCTAAGTATAAGAGCAACCAACATAAGCAGTGGAAACTGTTTAACCCAAGCCCAAGATTAGTTGATTAGTCATCGTATCGTGGCTTGAAGCAGGAGCAAAAGATCAACCATATGGAGTTTCTCCTATTCTATAGTATTTACCTATTACCATAGTGGAGATTAATCAAAAGTGAGTGGGCGGTTAGAAACACTATGGTACACAAAGGGTTAGTAATGTAGATAATGTAACGTATAAATGGATTTCTGCATAAGGAGAAGTAAAAGGAATCTGAAGGAGAGTTTGACGTTGGTAGAAATGATCAAGCAGTACTTCCTTATGATCCCGATCTAGAGTATATTCCTATCCATTAGTTAAAGAAGAACTATCAAGAACGACGTAATCCTTTATCTTTATATAGTCCCCTATGAGAAAGAAGAATAGGAACGCAGGGAATACACTAGAAAAGTGAATACTAAGACATCTTTCTTTCTTTTTTCTTTTCTGTATGATTAATTCATCCTCATCCGGATGGAATTATCATTACTTATCAATTACATGCCTCATGAATGAGATTGTTCCCTTGTACTATACTAAATTTTCTTTGTAATCGAAAGATGAAAGCTATGGGTCGAAATATCTCTTGAGACAACGAGTATTTTATTGAAAGATCGAGTTATCACTGAACAACAAATAATTGATAAAGGATAAGATAGATTCAGAAGCACCCTTTTATATATATATATATATAGATGACAGAATCCCATTGGTCTAATTCCGGACATTCCGATCCATCTCTACTCTACGGATATGCCGAGGCAAGACTAAGGTTTCAGTCCTTAGATTTATGTGACCATCAAGGAGAATGCGATTGCGTTATAAGGTCGCAATTGAACAGATCGAGTAAGTTCGAATTGACGCAACATGAAACCTATTAGTCCAAAAGCACCATGGAGAGCAACAAAAGTCCACAGACGCCCTAATTGACACCAACGAGTAAAATCTCCTTGTGCTTCAAGACCCCACAGTAGCAACAAAGATTGTGCTAAACTATTAGCAGGAGTAGAAACTGCAGCAGTTAAAAACTTGTATCCTTCCATAGAGGAGCTAGCTAATCCATGGGCGTACCATGAAGCTACAAAGGTTGTACCTGTGAACTACCCTCCTAAAGCAAAATAAGCACAAGAAAAAAGCAATAGACCAGACCAACCGGCAAAAATGAAGCGGTCCCTTTGTAGCCAGTCATCCATAATATCAAATAAATTATTTTCTCTTTGGAAAACCTACCAAGGGGTATAGTCATAGTGATCCTCCTATTCAACTACTGTAACCATTTTCGAACACCTCATATCATTATGATTAAAGAAAGAGTATATGATGGTTCAATCATTTATGTATGGACGACTACTCGCCCACTGTCCCTTCCAAAATATCGGGTTTTGAAGATATAGATCCCACAGGACAAACCAACCTAGGTAAATGCATGCTATCCCGATTTAATTATTGCTTCCTATTCCTACATTTGATCCATGAATTGTCTTATGCCGCATCAATCAAATGAAATTTATTAAAAAACTGTTAAGG